TGCTGGAGCAAGCCTTGCAGAAGTTGATCTGTGCTTTGTTTTCCAGTACGCTACGCTTGCTTGGCGTTATTGACAGGTTTGGGAACTGCACAGATGGAGAATGATTACTACTCTGGAAATACAAATACGGGTTTATCTTACCGGCCATTCCTGTGCAATGCCATCCAGTTTTAAGCAATGATTTGTCCGGATGACTTCATAAGCACTGTCTAAAATTGATTCTGTGTTGCGCAGGTTACATGAGACCTCTGCTGCTGGAGGCACACTGCGCTGTAAACCACTGTGTTTCTTTTGGTGGGGATGTTTTTTTCTCATTTTCTCAAAGGAGAGCATGGCTGATCAAAGAGCTCTGTCCCCTAGTTGGCATTTTTGACAATAATGCTCCCCTTGGTTTCTGGTTTGTCTGGACAATTATTTTTAAGTGTAGTTAAACACTTCTGCAAATGTCGTTTCCAGGCAACCTGTAAGGCTCTTACAAGCTACCTTGCTTAATTATGACCTACTTCTGGTAGCGTGTCCAAGTTTCTTAGTGTGCATTGAGGTTGATTGCTGGATTGACCTGGATAGGGGGAAAGAGGTGCTTGAGATTCATTTAGAAATCAAGTTTGCACCAACAGTGACTCAAAGGTGTCATACTCTAGTGAGGCTGTAGTAACCTTGCGTGTAGTGGATGGTTGGTTTCTGTGGATAAATACTTGGTTTTACATATGACCCTGGCTGATTCTTTATCTTTGGAGATGGGCCATCTGAGTGACAAACTTAAGTACGTAGGTGGAGAACAGGTTATTTTCTCGTGCAACACCTTTTTTTTTTCTTTCCTGTATAAACAGAAGGCTGCAGTTTCCATTTTGTTCCTCCAGTATTGATTTCACTTTACAACTTTTTGGAGCTAAATCCTGTTGCCCAGTGATCATCAGCAGTAGGTGCAGCATTTCCCTCGAATTTCTCCTGAACAACTGGGTTTGCAAACGAGGTACATAACACCTCCTGCTGCTTGTAAACAGCACTGGATTTCTGTGCCCAGCATGTGCTGGGTTGTTACCTGCACTGATGTCTGACAGCTTGAACTGAAGCCCAAGGGGAGGCTGAGGGTTTTGGAATATGGTTAGAGCTTCTGCCCTGCTTATATTTTTGTGTGTCAGTTCCACTGACTCAAGGCAGTGGCACCTGGATGCTGTGGTAGATCAAAGAAAAAAACATAAAGGATGCATAAAATATCATTTCAATTCTACCCTGAGTTAATTAATTCCTTTTCTCCATTGTGCAACTATACTTTGAAGGAGTTATTCCAAAACCAAAGGCTTCCAGTATTGGTTGGAGCTATTTCTGTAGTCAGCATCAGCTGGAGAGAGCATCCTTCAAGACCACTAGACTTCTTCAAAGAGTGAATCGTAAGATTAAAAGATTTTTAGTTCGGGAGTTTAAGAAGCAGTTGAGTAAATAAGAAGAACCTGAAATTAAATGAACTACTTTGATGAAGAAGAAACTGTAAGAGGGCAATTAGGCAGCAGTAGATTTTAACCCAACTTGAAGGCATTCTAGAGTAAAGACAGGCTTCTGACTTTTAACACGTTTGTTGAAAGGGGAACTGAGCTGGGTTACTCCAAGCCATGCCTTTGTGACTCCTGGTTTCTCGGTGTGGAGCGTGCCTTTAGAGCTCACAAAACTCAGGCAGGGAATGACCTTGGCATAAGAAGCAGGCATGGGTGAAACTACATTCCTCCAATCCTTCGAAGATTCATTTTGCACCTCTTCAGATTGTGAATGTACGTTGGGAAGGGAGTAGCTACACATTCTGGCCTGACCAATGGTCTACCTCTACACAGTTGTCAACTGAGAGTTTGGTTTCAAACGTCGTTTCTTAATGCTATTGGAAACAGAGGTGGACTCTGCCTGTTGAAAAACTCCCGCTGAGAAATCCTGGCTTTTGAGGAAAACCAGGTTCAGCATTCAAATTACACACCCAAGGCTCTTTCACTGTGAAAGCGCCTGGCTGAAAAGTATCTAGGTGCAGCCACAGCTTGGGCTTCCTGCAGCAGAAGATAAGGCCTGACTGAGGCAGGACAATTAACCCAGGAAATGGGGACAGGCAATTTGGCTTTTGTTGAAGCCATGAGGACTCAGACTGTAGTTTTAAAACAAGGTGGAGGCTTTTCAATTATTATTATATGAGTCTATTGAAAAGAGAGGAAAAGAATGGGAACGGTAGGCCAGATTCTCATCTGACTTCTGTTAGTAAAACTCCATAGGCTTTGCTGAATTTACATTAGAGCAGCCTCAGATCTGCATCTTTTCAAGTTTACTTCAAATGTCCCCTTTGAGCGTAGAAATCTGGAGAACTTGGGAGCATTTGATGCAATCCCCAAGCAATACAAAGGGGAGCCTGTTCTAATTGGGACTGTCTCATTAGCATTCAACACCACACTGAAAAGATGACAAAGGGCTGTGGCTGACCTTTCATTTCTCTCCATGCTGCCAAGCTTATGATAACACTTGTTTGAACTTCATTAACACCATTTAATTGCCTGCATCACAATCAATATGATGTTTCCCTGCCGAAACCTAGCATGGAGGCAGAGATGTGGGAGACAGAAAAGGGGAAGAGCACAAAAAGCAGAAGCCAAAGAGTTTTTCCATCACGCCCAAAATACCTGTAGCGCTGCAAGGAGAGGAACCAGTGCTTTATTCTCATCCCTGCAGAGACTTGGTCTCCTTTTGGCTGCTCATTGTGCATTCAAAATAGCCCCTCAAAGAAAAGCTGAAAGTCAGCAGAGACATTGCAAGTATTCTTAACACCTTGGGAATCCTCCCATGAAGACCATTCAAAATAGGCTTGCCAGGTTCGGGATTAAAAGAGGTTTAAAGTGACCTGCTCTGTGGGTTTCAGGATTATAACATCTGCAGTTTATTACATTAACCTGGTTACAAACGTCACCGCCACCTGATCTAGATGCAGGTACCAAGGCCCTGGGTCCGTGATCTCAACTATTTCATTATCCTGAAACAACTGTGACTTGCATGGCAGTAGCCTTTAGATGTCAAGGTCTTAAGCTTGTTAGAAAATGCTGTGGGAGCATGTTTGGAGTATGCAAAACGAATAGCCTACACCCATTCTGGATCTAACCTACAGGGCTTGCCAGCCTGTGCTTTCAGGGCTCTGTAGTCAATAGATGGGCTCTTCCAGTGCCGTGCTTGTGATGTCTGTTGGTCATTTTGCAGCTAGCTTTAGAAATAAAAATTGGCCTGGTTTAATATAATAAAGATTATAAGGGGCATGTACCCTGAAACTGTAAGTTATTGAGGTTTTAAAAAGAAACATTGGGGTGACACCAAGTGCTTTAGAAGAGAGCATCAACTGACAGGTGCAAATCCTGGCTCTACTTTAAAAAATGCAGTCCTCTGTGTCTCCTGTCCCTGCCAGAAAGAAGGCTCAGGACATAGCATACCACGGGTCAAGGTAGCAGGGTGTTTTCAATAAAGATAATAAAGAACAGTGCTGGAAGGGGTCTCAGGAGGTCAACCTGACCAACTCCTGCCTCAGGGCAGGATCAGCCTTCCTGACAGATGCTTGTCTACCCCTTCCTTAAAGGCCTCCAACAACAGAGCCTCTGCTCTCCTCAGGCAATCCTTTCCTGCACTTTGCTGTCCTTCACATCAGAGTCTTTTCCCTGATGGCCAGACAAAATCTCCCTGGCTGTAATTAAAGCCCATGCCATCTTATTGCATCCGCAGAGACAGGGTGTACAGCTCATTCCCTGCCTCTCTGCTTCAGCTTTTGGTGTATCTGAAGACTCTTTGCTCGTCTTTCTTTGCTTTTAGTGTCAAAAAACCTCCTGATGTTTTCTCATAGCAGTAACATGCTGTTCTTACATAGTGCAGGCAAGATGAAAATGTGTCTATACGCAGATGCCACAGCCCCAGCCCCACGCCTCCTCTGCACTGGGATGATGCTGGATGGTTTCTTCTCCCAGAGACAGTACCTGTGCACCAGTTCATGCTTCAGCCACTGACTCAGTGCTGCCCACTCTTTCTCTAACGTTTATTCCAAGATGAAAAGCAGCAGGAAAAGCCATGCACTTGCAAAATCAAATCATTGTCCTAGCTAGGGCATGCATACACAGGCAGAATCATTCCCTCAAGCTGTTCGAGGCAAACCTCTGAACTGACAGGTCTTCAGCTAACTTTGTGGCTGGTACCTTTTGCTTAGCTGTCATGCTATTACTGCCACGGTCCAATCAGTGTCCAAC